GTAAATGCCAGCAACATTAGGTTTCAATTTTCATGACTCATGAGATAATTTCATGTTTATCGACCACTTATGTTAATGTCAATTGCTGTTCGTGTCATTTACTTATTTTATAAGGAGTTTTTTTAATTTTGGCGTGCGTTATATATAAGGAATAGATTCTGTCATTTGATAAAATATTTCTTCTAGTTTTTTTCTTGCCTCTAATTTCATTTATGATGTTTAGGGTAGACAGAGGCATCAAACATTCAAGTAATCAAATGAGACATTTCTGTCTTTGAAACAAAGAGATCAGCTCATATGTTTGCCTAATACTCATATTGTTTTGTTATGCAATTAACAATCTGTAATTGATTTTTATACAATTAGACATTCTCTTCTCTTTTAAAATTTTTAGCCATTTTCCCAATAACCACTCACCCATCTGTCTCTTCTCCCACTTGTATAAAACTCTACTTTCCTATATACTATGATACATATTTTCATCAAGTTACAAAATTCCTATTTTACTGAAGTGTATTATTTTTATTTTATTATTACTTTTTTTGAGTTGGAGTCTCACTCTGTCGCCCAGGCTAGAATGCAGAGGCATGCTCACGGCCATGGCAGCCTCGAACTGCTGAACTCAGGCTATCCTTCCCCTTCAACCTTCCAAACAGCTGGAACTATAGGTGTATGTCACCACACCTAGCTACTTTTTTTTTTTTTTCTTTTTAATTGTAGCGATGAGATTTCACCAAGTTGCCCAGGCTGTTCTCACCTCAGCCTCCCAAAAGTGCTGGGATTATAGGCGTGAGCCACCATGTCCGGCCTTTTACTGAATTTTAAATATCTTATTATAAGTGTTTTAATGTCTTAATTTTGTAGTTTTGTTATGGAAGGCAGAATTCTAAGGTGGCCTTCAAGATTTCTGGCCTCTGATATGCACATAACTTCTCCCGGTTATTCTATGAGACACTAATCTATGTGCTGCTTTGAAGGAATATTTATAACTAGGGTCCCAAAGCAGTGAACCTTAAGAGTTTTATTTAGGTGGGCTGATCTAATGACATGACCCCTTAAAAGCAGCCAGTTTCAGCAGAGCTCGGTGGCTCAGCCTGTAATCCCAGCACTTTGAGAGGCTGAGGCAAGAAGATTACCAGAGCCCGCGGGTTGGAGACCCGCTCAGGCAAACTTGGCAAGACCTCATCTTTACAATAAATCAAAAATTAGCCGGGCTTGGTAGTAGGTGCCTGTAGTTCCGGCTACTTGGAAGGATCCCCAGAGCCCAGCAGGTCGAGGCTGCGGTGGCCGGGAGCGTGCCACTTCCCGCCAGCCTGGGCAACAGAGTGAGACTCCAACTCAAAAAAAAGAAAAAAGAAAAACAAAAGCAGCCAGTTTCCTGTGGCTGGCCACAGAGGTGAGAGTTAGAGAGATGTGTTACTGCTGGCCTGGAGGAAAGCAAATGCGTATCCTGTAAACTGTCCACGGGGGTCACATGGCAAGGAACTTCTAGGAGGCAACCTCTAGGGGCTGAGAGCAATCCCAGCCCGGGCTAGATGGACAACGGGAACTGAGTCCTGCAACCACAAGGAAGTGAATTCCGCCAACAGCAGACGCGAAGGGAAGAAGACCCCGATCCCAGAAGAGAACTCAATTGATGACACCTCGATTTAGCCTCATAACATCTGAGCAGAGAACCCAAACACAGTTGGCCAGACTTCTGACCTTCAGAACTGTGAACTAATAACTGAGTGTCATTTTAGGTCACTACGTTTGTGGTCATTTGTCACACAGCAATAAAAAAACAAAAAACTAATCTACTTATAGTATAATTTCATAACCAACACCTAGAGACCCATCAACTCCTTTGCAATCAAGTTATTTGTTCTCCTTTTTTTGTTTTGTTTTTTTTGAGTTGGAGTCTCACACTGTCACCCAGGTTGGAGTGCAGTGGCATATTCTTGGCCACCTCAGCCTCGATTTGCTGGGCTCAGGTGATCCTTCCACCTCAGCCTTCCAAGTAGCTGGAACTACAGGCACACGCCACCACGCCCAGCTAATTTATTGATTTATTGTAGAGACGAGGTCTTGCCAAGTTTCCCAGGCTGGTCTTGAACCCCTGAGCTCAGGCAGTCCTCTTACCGCCGTCTCCCAAAGTGCTGGGATGACAGGCATGAGCCACCACGCCTGGCTGTTATTTGTTCCTATTCATCACATGTCCAGAAGGATCTCACATTTTCTCAAAATTAAAAGCAAAAAGTTCTATCGCTCTTTCATCATAAGTTTATGGATCACTTTGGGGGCAGATCTGAATGGCCCTGGAGGTTCCTTGTCCCCCTTCTCTTGGAAGAAGAGCTATCCCTGAAGGTCAGCGGGGTCTCCTACCCACCAGCCTGGATGTGTTTTTCCAACAAACCCGACTTCCCATCTGCCAGCGAGGTGGGGTGTGTCAGTGACACCATCAGCGCGTCTCAAGTCTTCCTGGCATGTTGTTCCTGCATCTCCAAGTCCCTCTTGGTTCTCACCCCCACTACTCAGTTTCGTACATCTGGGGCCCTTGGCATGAAGACTTCTCTTCAAAGACCATGATGTGCGTTGTTATTTAGAGTTGACTACATTTTTCAGTGTCGTTTTATAATTATTTTAAAAGAGGCCACCACTTGTTTTTAGCCTGCCTCTAAGTACTATAGCTCTCAAAGCAATTATGAATAAGTTAACCTTTTGCTATTTATAAGTAATCTGGGCTAGCATGGAGAGAAGTTATTTATTGGATCTGTATTTTTTTTTTTTTTTGAGTTGGAGTCTCACTCTGTCACTCAGACTGGAGTACAGTGGCATGCTCACGGCCACCACAGCCTCGACCTGCTGGGTTCAGGCGAACCTTTCACCTCAACCTTCCAAGTAGCTGGAACTACAGGCATGCGCCACCACACTGGCTAATTTTTTTTATTGTTTATTGTAGAGGTGAGGGCTCGCCAAATTGCCCAGCTGGTCTCGAACCCATGGGCTCAGGCAATCCTCTCACCTTGGCCTCCCAAAGTGCTGGAATTATAGGCATGAGCCACTGCGTCTGGCCGGATGCATTTTTTTTTTCAACTGGACACAGAGTGTTTACCAACCATTAAGGTGTCAATGAATGAAAGAATAAAACATTCATATTTTTAACAGGACTGATTAGCCAAGGAAGTCCTCAAAACCTGAAAGAATGTCTCTAATGATGTCATTCAGACTATGGACGTATGATTGAAATCTTGTATGCCTGCTTCTAAGGCATGTGTGCATATTGTTAGAGTAGACATACACACACATGATAAAAAAACAAAAACACACACACACAGTTGCCCTAAGTCCTTAACTTCTCCTAAGGACCATGTCCCTTCATCTCTGGGCCTCTGAGTCTCAGGATTACTACCCAAAATACACCTTCTCCTTTGCCATGGGGTTGGAGACCTCTTAATATTTTTGTAGCTTCTCACAGACATCCTGGAAGCATCGTCCACAGTTAGTCATTCACAAGTCAAATGTATGTTCCCACTCACAAGCCTGGAGAAATTAAAACGCCTTGCTTTCTGAGTCTGTCTTTCCTTTAACTCCCAACATTTATTCCCCATCTGCCTTTGCCCTCAGTGTTCCTAGCCTTCATGACGGGATAAAAATGTGAAGCCCCTAGACCTTGTAGGTCCATAAGGAAGGCGGCCCTACCATAGGTTCAGCGAGGATTCTAAGGCCCAGAATCCAGACATTAGATATGGCTTTCCAAGTAAGCAGAGTTATTGCCTTAATTTGCCTCATGGCACAGGGTATAAAAAGCAGGGAATTCAGGCCGGGCTCAGTGGCTCAGCCTGTAATCCCAGCACTTTGGGAAGCCAAGGCAAGTGGATCATCTGAGCCCGTGAGTTCAAGACCAGCCAGGGCAACTTGGCGAGACCTCATCTCCACAATAAATCAAAAAAATTAGCTGGGTGTGGTAGTGCATGCCTGTAGTTCTGGCTACTCGGAAGGCTGAGGTAGAAGGATTGCTGGAGCCTAGCAGGTCGACACTGGGGTGGCCGTGAGCGTGCCACTGCACTCCAGCCTGGGTGACAGAGTGAGACTCCAACTCAAAATAAATAAATAAATAAAATAAAAAGCAGGGAGTTCAACCTGTCTTCTGTGCGCCTCCAATCTGGCAGGCTTCCTACTCCACTGCCAAGACACAGAACTTCACGGTGGCTCCAAGAGATGCCTGGGAGGCCATGGGGAACCACACGCAACCACCTGCAACCTCAACTTATGCCTGTCCTGCTCATGATTGGGTCATGCTTTGAGAGAATGCCAGAGTGAAATCAACCTGCAGTGATGCCCCTGCTGCCATGTTTGCCCATCCCTGAACCCAAAACAGATTCTGTGTTCTGACCTAGCTCGGCCCTGTTCTGGGTTCAGCTGTCTCGCCCCGACGTCTCTATCCTCAGACACGCTTTCGATCAATTCTCTTCCCACCTCATTGTTCAACCACTTTTCCCCTCTTTTGTGCATTGTATAGCCCTAATGATATGGACAAAGTACTTTCCTCTTCAAAACTAGTTCTCATCGGTTCCCTTGTGTCTCTTCTCAGTAACAGACACTGGCCTGCATTTCCCTGCAGTCCTCTCCAGTGGAGTTCCCATCATCCACCTCTTTCCAACTTAGTGGAAAAAGTAGAGAGGACCAGTTTGTTTCCAGAGAATATCCAGACCACCGACTCATCTCTCTCTGTCCACCATTCTTCATTCAAAGTTCATACCATTCTTATGGGCTTAAAAAGAGTTCAGATACAGATGTGCTTTAGAATGTAACCAATCAGGAAGTAAATGTATAGTAATTTATTATAAGAACAAAATTATTAACCATGATAAACCATAAGAAGAAGAACCTTATTTTGTTAACAAACTCTTATTACTTGTAAAATATCGTGGCATCACGTAGAAAGAGTAAGGTTTTTAAACAATGTAGTTTATATATTAATCTGCATCAAAGCTATTTCTTGTAATTGTCTTCAACAGGAAATTATCTGTAGGTTATATAGTTGATAATATAAGGTAAATATAGAAACAAGTCTAATACTGAACAACTTACAATTCCTAACAACTTACTGTGCTTTATATGTGTCAAAGGAAACGTAGAGTCCTTTAAAAAGACTGTTTCAGAAAGTTTCAAAATTACATATTGTTAATATAGATACTAGTAAAAACAATGAGTCAAGTTTTCTTTTATAAAATGCTTCAAAATTGAAGTTTTCTAACTAAACCCATAGCATCTCAATGCCATCCTTAGTTAAATTGTGGCTAATATGTTTGAAACACTGATAAAAAGTAAAAAGAGAAACTACATAATATCTTTAATATATTATCAAATACACTTGTGGAACTTTTACTATTTAAGATGCGGTTATTTAAAATATGGGTTGTGAGTTCTTCTAATTTTCATGGAAACTGATCTAATCTTGATGGGTAAGTTGTTTCTGGTCCATGTGCCCCATCGAATGCCAGTTGCAAGCAATTTTCCAGGGAAGTGCTGAATGCCATTTAGGTTGGCGAGACCACACTGGTTGAACCACCAGCCGGTGTTGTTATTGAGGTGACTGCAACTCTTCACAGACTGACCGTTGACCAGGCAGGCAGGGTGACACCCATCATTATCCACATCTGACGTGCTGAAGGGTACTGCGTTTTGATTATCTTCTTTTCCAAGGCCCCGGAATGCATCACCTGAACGGAATTGGAAGGCAATCCATTATTTTATTCAACCATTACCAGCACTCAGGCAAAAGCATTGCACCTAGAAATAAGGTTGAAATTATTTTCTACTGTTTATCGTGTTAAAATCTCTCTCACACAGATTGCAGTAGGCCAAAAATCTGATGATGAATTCCTCAACATGACAGGCATTCTTAAATGGATGTTGGATATGAAGGTCACAATTCAAAATGAAACTTTGTGTAGACAAAGATCAGATATGATCTGTGTAGACAAAGATCAGAAATGGTGATGCACTGTTATACTTTGGGGAGATCAATATGGTAATCGATAGTTTAGGGGGGGAAATGATTTACACAGAGTTTTTTCATACCACCACCATTTACATCACTTGGGATAGAAAGGCGTGGATGAAGGTGAAACTTCCACCATTAAGAAAATTCCATTTATAACTCCAAAGGTTGCTTGGGTTTATTCAGGGACCATCAAGTTTCTCACCTCAGCCTCCCAAATGTCCAATGCCAACCAGGCACAATGGTTCATGCCTGTAACCCCAGCACTCTGGGAGGCGAAGGTGAGAGAATTGCCTGAGCCTGGAGGTTCAAGACCAGCCTGGGCAACTTGGTGAGACCTCATCTCTACAATAAATCAAAAAATTAGCTGGGCTAACTATCTTGGCCAAGACAACCTGGTTAACTAAGTGGCAGGTGCAGGAGTCATATTTTGTGTTCTAAAGCTTCATAAAATTAGAAGAGTAGCTGGGCACAGTGGTTCATGCTTATAATCCCAGCACTTTTTGGAGGCCAAGGTGAGAGGATTGCCTGAACCCACGGGTTTGAGACCAGCCTGGACAACTTGGCGAGACCACATCTCTACAAAAAATCAAAAAATTAGCCAAGCATGGTGACACATGCCTGTAGTTCCAGCTCCTTGGAAGGCTGAGGTGGAAGGATGACTGGAGCCCAGCTGGTCGACACTGGCGTGGCCGTGAGTGTGCCACTGCACTCCAGCCTGGGTGACAGAGTGAGACTCCAACTCAGAAAAAAAAAATTAAGAGAGTAAACCCATAATACCTACATCTCACCTATACGTAAACTTTAACCACTATGTTTGAAACACTAAAAAAGAAGCTGTGTAAAACCAGAGGAGACAGCAAGGACCACATTTGTTTCCTCAAATGTGGGTGGGTGGCATCTCTTAAGATAAATCTTTTGAAGATCCTGAAGACCATCCACAGTGGCAGCCTATCCTCTAGCCCAGCTCTGCTGATCACTTAAGTCTCTGACTCTCTACTTCATGGGAAACGAAATACACACATTGCAGGTATTTGCAGAGAGTATGCAATTTTCAACACTCACACAGTGTAATACCTTCCAAAAGTTCAGTGCTATGAGTTCAGCACTTTGGGAAGCTGAGGAAAGAGGATTACTTTTGAGCCCAGGGGTTTGAGACCAGCCTGGGCAAATTGGCGAGACCTCATCTCTACAATAAATTTTAAAAATTAGCCAGGCATGGTGACGCACACCTGTAGTTCCAGCTACTTGGAAGGCAGAGGCAGAAGGATCGCCTGAGTCCTGCAGTTCGAGGCTGCAGTAGCCCTGAGCTTGCCACTGCACTCCAGCCTGGGTGACAGAGTGAGACTCCAACTCAAAAAAAAAAAAAAAAAGAAAGAAAGAAAGTTCAGGTGGGAGAGACAATACAGATGGAGTATTGCCTAAATTATGTGATCATTCCATAGGCAATCTCCCTAGAGGAAGTACAACCATCAGAAGAATCATATATCATATGGGCTCCTCAATGAATTTTATTTAACGGTTCATTTAAAATATGTATGCAGCCGGGCTCTGTGGCTCAGCCTGTAATCCCGCGCCTTTGGGAGGCTGAGGTGAGTGGATTGCCTGAGCCCGCGGGTTCGAGACCCGCCTGGGCAGTGAGACCTCATCTCTTCAATAAATAAAAAAATCAGCCGGGCATGGTAGCGCACGCTTGTAATTCTGGCAACTTGGAAGGCTGAGGCGGAAGGATCGCCGGAGCCCAGCGGGTCAAGGCTGCAGTGGCCGGGAGCGGCCACTGCACTCCAGCCTGGGCGACAGAGTGAGACTCTTGACTCAAAAAATAAAATAAAATAAAATAAAATAAAATGAAATAAAATAAAATAAAATGTATGCATAGGCTTAGTTCCTAAAATATAGAATATTGAAACTCGCCCACCATGTTTTCTGTGAGTGTGTAGTTAACAAACATGACTCTGTTTACTCTGAAAACCCAGGAAAATTTCTCTCAAGTTTTATCATCAGGAATATTTGTGCATCTCGTGAACAACTATGTTGCTCAAATGTTCAAATTCATGTGTCTATTTTTTGCTCTGATCTCAAAACCAAATTTGTGGCCTGACTCTACCACATCTGATCACACTTCACCCTCCAGTTTTATCTCTATTTCTATGCTACTGACACCTTTTTCTTTCATTATTTTGATTGTATTATATAACCAACAGTTGAAAGTTACTTAACAATCTTGCTGGGAAAATGTGTAATACAGCACAGCGAAATCGGAGGGTTCTACAAGAAAAAACTTTTGCCATTATAAATGTTATTCTTTAATTAGATCTCATCTTTTAGAAAACCCCCACATAAACTTTTCCTAACATATTATGGTCCATATTTATACAATTCTTTACACTTTCAGAGGTGAAGCATTGAAAATTATAAATTATAAGTCTTCAAAAATCTCTCTATATAAATATTTGTGTTTCAGACTTTTACCTAGTATCCCAAGCCTAAACCCCCAAGACATCATTGATTCTAACCGTACCAGACAACTTTCTGTGCCCTATAATTTTCTCCCTCTACGCCTTGACTCAAGCTGCTCTGTTTGCCAACATTCACTTGCCCAAAGCCTCCAAGACCAGATCCGTGGTTCCCAACTGTAAGCGTGCCAACATAGCCATCTGATCCAAACTTACTGAATCACATTCCACGGGGGTCTGGACTTTCAAAAAGCATCCCAGGTGGAATCTTAACATTAACCCTTATTGAAACTACTCTTCCATCAAGATTTTTCTGGATGCAGTCAATTAGAATCATTCACACGCTCTCTCTGATTCCCAAAGCTCTTTCAGTATGCTGGGTCTGCAGTGTTATTTACCTTCTCTGCTAGGTTGTGATTAGTCAAACAGCAGGAAACATGTATCATTTATTTTTGGATTTCCAACACTCTATATACATACTGAACAAACACCATGAGAGGTGAATTTGCTATTTTTAAACTCAAATGCCTTTACATTGTCAGCATCAAGTGCTGTGAACTTCTAACAAGTTAAATGAGTAGGTGCATCAAGGTATAGCAAAAAAAAAAAAAAAAAAATCAAACACTAAATTAGTTGTTCTGTCAGCCTGGATTCTTGCTCCTGGCTCAAGAATGATGATCTGGGAATCATGGACAAGTCACTAAATCATTCAGGTTCTTTTAACCTACAAAGTGAAAAGAATAGAGATAGTCTCTAACACCCTATGACTTCTAAATGTCAGCCTCTCTGAACAGAAAAATGGAAACAATACCTTCCCAGCCTACTCTACAGACTCTTTGTCCAAAGAATCAACTGAGATTACAAATAGCAAATTGTTTCAAAGAGTATAAAGCACTTCAAAATTATGAAGTGGTATAATGATCATAACAGAGTTTCAAAACTCAAGACTTGGCCAACTTTTCATTCCTAATCTATTCCACTGTCACTGATGTGTCATACATCAAGAGAAATGCATTATTTTTATCTTCACTTGATATTGAGCCAGTTGCATTTAAATCTTCTGGATAACTTGAGGAATTAAAAAACTTACCAGCATTTCCTGAATACCGTCCTAAGTGAATTTTAAAAAATCTTGTTTCGTCCTCTAGCCAAAAATTGTCATACGATGCATAAGCAAAAGTGTCATCTTCAGATTCCAAAGCCACATACAGCATAAAACTGGTATTTTTCTGATTTACTATATTAAAAATCTTTTTTAGTCCTAGCCAAAATTCTCCTGTAAAAAAAATGCTTTGTTTTAATATAGTTTAATATAAATTAGAATAACTCTTCATTAGTGAACGTTTGGTCTTATATAACATTTCAATAATCCTGAGACAGTGCACCTAAATAATTAAAGGCATTATATTTCCTTTAATTAATCAATTTTCCGTGTTTGTCCACTTTACCCAAAGAAACTTCCTATGTCTACTTCACTAGACTGGTGAAGATCAAACCCAGTTCCATTTTTCTCTCTCCAAATTAAACTCAAAAGTTCATTTAAAGATGAAACAAAAAGTCAAACTGTATCTTAAGGCATTTCAACATAAAACCATTTGAAGGTCGATGGTGGCTCATGCCTGTAATCCCATCACTTTGGAGGTGAGAGGAGTTCAAGACCAGCCTGGGCAACATGGTGAGACCGCATCTCTGCGATCAATCAAAAAATTAAACAGGCATGGTGACACACACCTGTAGTCCCAGCAACTTGGAAGGCTGAGGCAGGAGGATCGCTGAGGCAGAAAGATCGCCTGAGCCCAGCAGATCGAGGCTACAGTGGCCATCAGCATGACACTGCACTTCAGCCTGGGTGACAGATTGAGATTCCAACTCAAAAAAAAAAACAAACAAACCCATCTGAAATAAAATATCTGGTAACAAAATATTGTGTACCAATAAATGTGATTTAACCTCCACATCGGCATCTCCTAAAGAAACATTCCCTCCAAATGCTCAGATGAAATGATTTTTTGTTTTGTTTTTTAGTCGAAGTCTCATTTTGTCACCCAGGCTGGAGTACAGTGGCACATTCACGGCCACCGCAGCCTCGACCTGCTGGGCTCAGATGAACGTTCTGCCTCAGCCTTCCAAGTAGCCGGAACTACAGGCGTGCGCTACTGTGCCTGGCTAATTTTTTTGATTTATTGTAGAGATGACATCTTGCCAAGTTGCTTGGGGTGATCTCAAACCTGCGGGCTCAGGCAATCCCCTCACCTCGGCCTCCCAAAGTGCTAGGATTACAGGTGTGAGCCACCGCGCCTGGAGAAATTATTATTTTTTTAAACACTTTTTTTGTCTGAATGCAACGTGTCCATTACCTATAACTAGGAACATAATGTAGCCACACGAGAGTATCCTTAGGTTTCGGGTCAATTTTTCCAAGATGATTATAGATTCAGAATGAATTATAAAACTCTCTCATTCAGACCGCATACTTCCTGCACACATATCCTATCTAGACGATCCCCTACCCACCATGGTATAACCTAAATGTGCTCACCCCTGCTCTGAGATATATTTCTCTAAGTAGAGTCATACAATTACTAAACGAAAGAAGGGTCTGTCTAGTCAAAACAAAATCCAGAGTTGGAAGATAATGTGACAGCATTCAAACTCTTTTTTTTTTTTTTTTGAGTTGAAGTCTCACTCTGTCACCCAGGCTGGGGTGCAGTGGCATACTCCTGGCCACCACAGCCTTGACCTGCTGGACTCCGGTGATCCTTCCGCCTCAGCCTTCCAAGTAGCTGGAACCACAGGTATGCGCTACCATGCCCAGCTAATTTTTTATTTGTTTTAGAGACCAGGTCTCACCAAGTTGCCCGGGCAGGTCTCGAACCCGCGGGCTCAGGCAATCCACTTGCCTCGGCCTCCCAAAGTGCTGGGATGACAGGTGCATTCAAACTCTTAAAACTACAGTTGGGGGCCAGACCCAGTGACTCACTCCTATCATCCCAGCACTCTGGGAGGCTGAGGTGAAAGGATTGCCTGAGCCCACGGATTCGAGACCCGCCTGGACAACTTGGCGAGACCTCATCTCTACAATAAATAAAAAAATTAACTGTGCATGGCGGCACATGCCTGTAGTTCTGGCTACTTGGAAGGATCACCTGAGCCCAGCAAGTCAAGGCTGCGGTGGCAATGAGCGTGCCACTGCACTCCAGCTATGGGGGACAGAATGAAACTCTGACTCAAAAAAAAAAAGTAGAGCTGGGATCTTAAGTCTTTCTTGGGGCTCACGGGGCATGCTCTCTACATACCACTTAGAACTGAAAAGTACCCTTAAGAGATACAGGAAGACAGTCAGCCCAGTCAGACAGGTCACTAGGGTCTACTGAGTCTCACACGGTCTGTAACACTTCGATTTAAGTGCCCCAGCATCTTTCTCCTCTATCCAAACCTCAAATTTGAGACTTGACAGTACATTTTCTGTCACCCCAAATTTATTTTTTAAAATACACCAGTACAAGGCAGTCTCAGTCTGCGTGAAGGATGCCTGCCTGGAGACCTGATTAGTCAAAACTCATGTGACTGCCCCATGGAAATAAGCGTGAAGTCAGGATGATGACAATTCAAAGCCTATGTATATGTCGATCTATGACTACTTAATTCAGAGGAGGCACTCAATGGGAAACAAGGGGTAATGCTGAGAAAATACAAGCACATTAACTATGCTCCACGTCATGGCAGTTATCTGAATGTAAACCAAATCATTTCTAAGATCACGGGCACGTAGTGGCATTTTTAGCACTGGGACTAACACCACCAGTTACAGAACCCTTGAATGACATCATTATGGGAGGTTAACTATATTAACTTATAGCCATAGTAACTGTTAAAATAGCATAAAAACTATTTTTTTGTTAGTTTGTTTTTGAGTCAGAGTCTCACTCTGTCACCCAGACTGGAGTGCAGTGGAATGCTCACGACCACCGCAGCCTCAACCTGCTGGGCTCAGGCGATCTTTTCCCTCAACTTTTCAAGTAGCTGGAACTACAGGCATGTGCCACCACGTCCGACTAATTTTTTAATTTATTGTAGAGATGAGGTCTCGTCAAGTTGCCAGAGCTGGCCTCAAACTCGCGGGCTCAGGCAATCCTCTCACCTCGGCCTCCACTATGCCTGGCCTAAAAACTATTCAAGCCACCTGCAGAAGTTCCAACTCATATAAAATTTCTTGAGGTTCAGCAACCCAGGTCTTTCTGTTGACCAACAAAATTGATGCAGCCTTGTGGCAATAAAGTACAGATTTTGCAATTCATTTGGGGTTATAATTTTAAAAATTTTGAATATCATGATCTTTATTGACATTTTTAGAAAACACTGTGTTCAGTTTCAACACTTTGAATTTGCAGAGGCATGGACCTCAGTTCCCTGTCATTTGCTCAAGCGGACACAGCGCACATCTCAAGAATCCTAAGATCAATGACAACCCTGCCATTCTGTGTTCCATTCTACAAAGAGTTGGTGAGCACTTGTCAGAACTCTGCTGGGTGCCATAGTAGGTACTCAGTAAATATCAAATTTAGAATTTTTACTCAAATTACATCTCAACAGATATATAACAATAAAGATTTTCAGGTCTCAACTGAAGACCTACTTATTTTAAATTATTTGACATATGAAAAAAGGGTGATTTAACTCCTATTTTGCTATTCACAAGGATTTGCTATATTAGTAAAGACCTGACCAGTAGAGACACAGTCTGCAGATATGAGATCAAAGAGGAAAAAAAAAAGGTAGTGCAAAAATATGTAAAAATTAAACCTAAAAGGTCGCCAAATCCATCCAGATAATCACACCACAACCTCTGGAAGTCAATTATCCCGTCGATCCTTTTCTGTATCACGGTCCATCCACCTCCTCTGTAATCCATGTCACACATTACCTAAAACAGGTAGAAAAGATGAAAATAATACACTATTATTTTATTATTAGATATTATAAAATTCATGCTTCAGCCTTAAGCCTAGAGAAAGAGAAGACACTTCCACTGAGTTTTCAGTGCAATTGTATGTCATTAATTTGTTCAAGGCCAGGCTCAGTGGCTCACACCTATAATCCCAGCACTTTGGGAGGCCGAGGTGAGAGGATTGCCTGAGCCCAGGGGTTTGAGACCAGCCTGGACAATTTGGTGAGACCCCCATCTCTACAATAAATCAAAAAATTAGCCAAGCGTGGTGGTGTGTGCCTATAGTTCCAGCTACTTGAAAGGCTGAGGAGAAAGGATCACCTGAGCCCAGCAGGTTGAGAAGGCAGTGGCCAGAAGCCACTACCCTCCAGCCTGGGTGACAAAGTGAGACTCCTACTCAAAAAAAAATTTTTTTAATTCATTTTTTATATCTCTAGAAATGATACTGTTTACTATAAAGCAAACTTATAATTATCCTAACTACAGTGCTTTTATCAATCATTTTTAAAAACACAAACAGCCGGGCTCGGTGGCTCAGCCTGTAATCCCGCGCCTTTGGGAGGCTGAGGTGAGCGGATTGCCTGAGCCCGCGGGTTCGAGACCCGCCTCGGCAGCGAGACCTCATCTCTACAATAAATCAAAAAATCAGCCGGGCATGGTAGCGCGCGCCTGTAATTCCGGCTACTTGGAAGGGCTGAGGCGGAAGGATCGCCGGAGCCCAGCAGGTCGAGGCTGCGGTGGCCGGGAGCGGCCACTGCACTCCAGTCTGGGTGACAGAGTGAGACTCCAACTCAAAAAAAAAAAAAAAAAAAAAAAACACAAACAACATGTTAAGGTTATTCTCTTGTTCCTCAATTCTATAAATAGTTTTCAGTTTAGTTGTAAAAGTATTGCTCTGATGTGACAGAGTAACTTATTTCTTTACAAATTAGTTTTTTGTTTTAAAATACAAACACTAGTTGGTTTGTTTTGAGTGTTAATTTTGCTCATGCACTTATCTTTGATTGTGTTTTTCTCCCACAAACCTGGTGGCCTATGTTAAGATGGGCATTTTCGGCTGAGTATGGTGTGGTTCACGCCTGCAATCCCAGCATTTTGGGAGGCCAAGGCAGGAAGATTACTTGAGCCCAGGAGTTTGAGAGCCAGGCAGCAGAGCGAGACATCGTCTCTAAAAAAATCAGAAATTAGCTGGGTGTGATGGCACGTGTCTGGAGTCCCGGCTACTTAGGAGGCTGAGGCGGAAAGATCATCTGAGCCCAGGAAGTCAAGGCTGCGTGAGCCATGATCATGCCACTGGACTCAGCCTGAGCCACAGTGTAAGACACGGACTCAAAAAAACCCACAAAAACTGGCATTTTCACAGAAAGTCAGATTGTGTGCCCACCGCAGATGCCCATAGGTGCATCAGTTGATGCTATGTAAAATGCCTCTAAGAGGAAAGAAATCAAGAGCAAACCTCTCCAGAAACTTCTCACGTGGAGACAGAGAAAGGCCCGTGTGGAGGAAGTGAGAGAGGCAACACGTTCCCACAACAGAGGTAATTATGCATCCCACAAAATTGGAAGCCTTCCTTTCCCACATCTGTTCAGATTCAGTTGTTTAGGTGAAGTAATTTAGGTAATTTAAAAATTATTTCCCACTTCATTTTCAACATTTGACATCTTGTCAATAGATTAAAAAAAAATAACGGTAGTAACTCTAAGTAGAGAAATTGGGAGCACCTACTTACAAAAAAGTCATCTTATTGCATAATAAGGACTATCAATAAAGTGTAAGTATCATAGACTTTCTTATGCACAAGGTAGTACACAGACCAATATATGTTATTATGCGCACAGACACACATATCTTATCAATATGCATACCTGCTATTAGAAATCTCTACTAGCTATCTTAGCACAGAACTAAGGATAGACATGATAAGAATAATTTATTTTATTCAATTTAAGGGTGGATTGGCTTCTCAATCTACCCTGTACCACAGTGAAAGGGTTTTCGTGATTATTAATTTCTTCTGCAATCACATAATATCATTTGTTAGCAAAAGAAATCATAACCATATATAGGAAGAGAAATCAAAATATATTTTTAGTAAATCCCAAGGCAAAGCACATCATTATTTTCTAATATCTATAGGCTAATTAAAGCAAGTATTAAGGCCGGGTGAGGTGACTCATACCTATAATCCCAGCACTTTGGGAGGCTGAGGTGGGAAGATTGCCTGAGCCCGTGGGTTCGAGACCAGCCTGGGCAACTTGGCAAGACCTCATCTCTACAATAAATCAAAAAGCTAGCCAGGAGCAGTGACGCATGCCTGTAGTCCCAGCTACTTGAAAGGCTGAGGCGGGAGGATCCCCTGAGTCCAGCAGGTCGAGGCTGCAGTGACGGGGAGCCAGCCACTGTACGCCAACCTGGGCAACAAAGTGAGACTCCAACTCAAAAAATAAAAATAAAGTAAGTATTTATACTGCAATAAGTTCTGCTTATTATAGTTCTGCCTATTATAAGAATAATAAAAGGTCTTACACCAAAGAAATTGGCTTTAAGGAGTGTAACCATGAAAACTCAGACAGAAAAGTAAGAGACAGACTCTGTTTCTTTTATTGATTCATGATTTGAGCATTCGAATTCTGGAAAACCAGAGTTTTAAAACTGAAACTTTTACTAAGTCACTTAAAATTTTTCCTGCAAAATTAAACATCAAAGCAAAATTTTAATATAAATTAAATTGGTTGCATATGTATCTTATTCCATGTAATAAGGGAAAACTTTACCTCAAATGGGTAACTAGATCCTTCTGGTTGGATTATATATAAACCACTTGGTGTTTTAGTGACAGAGCCAATAGTATCTTTAATATCAGTGCAATCTAAACCTAGAAAAGGAAAATTAGTTATTTAGGCTATTTTCAAGTGTACATCGAAAACAATGATTTCACTACAGAAAATTGATAGTGCTGAGATTATCAAATTGCCATTAGTGATGTGACTTTAACTTCTTGTAAATGAAAACAACTTTAAAATTAAGGAGAAGATATAAGGAAGAACAGATTCAAGAAGTTACGCTGCAATAAACCTTCCCTTATAATATCACTGTTAGTGATTAGGGTTCTGTATTGTTTAAACATTTCACTTGAAATCAACACTTACTTAACATTTCTTATAATTATAGATTATCTTTCCCACTGGGCACAGTGGCTCAAGCCTGTAATCCCAGCACCTTGGGAGTCCGAGGTGAAAGGATTGCCTGAGCCCAGGGGTTCGAGATCAGCCTGGGCCACTTGACAAGACCTCATCTCTACAGTAATTCAAAAAATTAGCTGGGTGTTGTGATGCATGACTGTGGTTCCAGCTACTTGGAAGGCTGAGGCGGAAGGATTGCCTGAGCCCAGCAGGTCGGGGCTGCAGTGACTGGGAACTCCAGCCTGGGTGACAGAGTGAGACTCCAACTCAAAAATAAAATAAAAATAATAATAATGCTACCTACTCCATTGTGTTATTCTGACAATGTACATAGTAAGGTATTACGAGGCTCCAACTCAAAAATAATAAAAATATAATAATAAAAATAATGCCATCTACTCCATTGTGTTATTCCGACAATGTACATAGCAAGGTATTATGAGACTCCAACTCAAAAATAATAATAATAAATAATAAAAATAATGCCATCTATTCCATTGTGTTATTCTGACCATGTACACAAGTCAGGTGTTACATAATGCCTTTAGTACAATGCCTAGCACACACAAATATTTCGTCTACAGAATGTTAACTATAAAAAAGTGTTTCCTTGCCCTCTCACTTCTAGAAGACATAGCTTTGTGTCTGTATTCTGAGTTGTTAAGAGATAGTCTTAGAATTACATTAGGCTCAGAGATGCAATGGGAGTTCACACGGAAGGACTGATCTGGGTTGAAATCTCTGCTGTGTCTTTATCATACAGAGAAATGCAAACAGATTTTTTTTTATTTTCTGGGCTGGGTATTTTTCATCTGATGATGGCGAGTGTAGTAAGCCCTTATGTTGCTCTTCCTACTTTAAGAACTTTTCATGTCTTTACTCATTTACTCCTCACATCAAGTCTACGGGGTACCACCAGCTTACTGATGAGGAAACTGCTATCAAGGAAGCAGCAGGTGGAGATTTGAAGCCAGGTCGTCCGACATCAGTCCATGCTCTTGACTACCAAGTTACACTGCCTAGCTAGAGGACTTACGGGAAATAAAAATGAGATAAAATAATCTTGAGGCCGGGCCCGGTGGCTCAGCCTGTAATCCCAGCACTTTGGGAGGCCAAGGTGAGAGGATTGCCTGAACCCAAGGGTTGGAGACCAACCTGGGCAACTTGGTGAGACCTCATCTCTACAATAAATCACAAAAACTAGCCAGGCGTGGTGGCATGCGTCTGGAGTTCCAGCTACTTGGAAGGCTGAGGCAGAAGGATCCCCTAAACCCAGCAGGTCAAGGCTGCAGTGGCTGCGAGTGTGCCACTGCACTCCAGCCTGGGCGGCAAGAGTGAGACTCCTACTCAAAAAAAAAAAGGAAGA